GATGATGATGATGATGATGATGATGTTGTGATTGAATGAACGGTCGTGCTACTCTATCATTCCCTTGGCTTCCCGCTCCTCCCACTATGGTATATCAAAAGGCACGGTAGCTTCAGCCCTTTATGGTGATGATGATGATGATGATGATGTTGTGACTTGTTGAACGGTCGTGCTACTCTATCATTCCCTTGGCTTCCCGCTCCTCCCACTATGGTATATCAAAAGGCACGGTAGCTTCAGACAGCCCTTTATGGAGAGAAAGGAATATTATTACAAATTTATTTATAGGTTAATCTCAGACTGTTTTACAAGGTCGTGCTGAAATCTCCGTGAGGGGGCAAGTAGCGTCGACCTAAAGATGTTCGATCCAGATTGGCTGGTATTCTGACCAATCGGGGCATGCATTCGACCCCCCAGACGTTCTTGCGAGTCCGTGTCTACTTTTTGCGGACGACTTGAAATCCTGGAGTTCCAATGCCAGTGTCCTCCAAATGGATGTAGACGCTGCCAAGCAGTGGTCGTTGGACAGGCACCTTCCTCTGAATGACAAAAAGTGCGTCCATATGTCGTCTGGAGGGGATTCAGCGAATACCTTTGTTATGCATGGTGACCAGGGACCAGAAAACATCATGAGGAAAATGCCAAAAAGGATTTGGCCATCTGGGTCCTCCTCAAACTTGTCCTTCTCACTGCACCATGAGAAATCGGCCCAAAAGGCATTCGCCACTTTACGGATGATCCGACGCACCTTCTCCCGTATTACTCGCACGGACTTCCAAATACTCTATGGGGCATAGGTCAGACCGCTCCTGGAGTACGCCAACCAAGTTGTCTACTCAGGACGCACGAAAGACGTCACACTCATTGAGCGTGTCCAGCGGGCCGCTACGAGAATGGTTGCCGGCCTCAAATCCGTGGACTACGAAACGCGTCTCGCGATGCTTGATCTCTTTCCCCTGGAGTACCGTCGGCTCCGAGGGGACCTAGTTCTTACTTATGCCCTGTTGGAACAAAGCATGGCAAACAGGTTTTTCACCGTTGACCCAGCAAACACACGGCGGGGACATAGTAAGAAGATTTTCAAGCTCAGAGCGCACACATCCAATAGGCAAAATTTTTCTCATTTCGGGTAGTAGCTGCGTGGAATGACCTTCTTCCGACAGTTGTGCACGCTCCTTCTAGAACCCAGTTTAGAGCTTTATTGGACATTTATTTATGCGAATCCTGGCGCTGGCAAGCATACTGCCCCGCACTGAGAACAATAAGAGCGGTGCTACGTCCTTTTTTCACTTTCAAACTACAACTCAATTGACGGTGGATACAATTTCCAACAAGCTAGTCATTCCTACAATGATTGATCTAACCATACTACACTCAGAAGAGCTGCTCAAGCCTAGTGAACTGGTGAAACTACAAAAGTACAGCTTAGGATGTCCCTAGATTGAAATTGCATTTCAATTGCGCAATGGGTGTAATCTACATTAATCACTAAAACGGCAGTAGTCTTCCACCGTTGTTTATCGGTCCGTTTCCAAAAATATCCAATGACTTGCAGTAAGCAGTCATTAAGAAGCAATCGAAATACATTCAAATCCGTTGCCTGTGCTGAGTACTTTTGGAAGGACTGGTATTTCGCACGTTCTCGTGCATGAAACCGCCCAACTGGCGCATCCCGCCTCGCTCCCGACAGCCCCATTCACCATTCTCCTGTTTGTAACCTTCACGAAGAAACTGGACCACACCACTCTGTAATGGTTTGCGCACCTCTGTAATCCACTGAGCTATGGTGGGAAGTGAGTGGGACACTTACGGAGCCTCTTATTTAGTCGACGGATAGAGGTCTGTGTAGAGTATTCTGGCCTTCCATGTTGGAGATTTTAACATGTATGGTGACATTTCCCTGAAAATATAGGCTGCTCTGACGGTCTTATACCAACTGCCGCTGCCTTATGGTTAGGTTTTCGTCCCAAAGGTGTTACTGAGGGCCCTAATCGTCTTCTTTCCTGGATCTAGGCACCCCGGCAGTATCCCAGCCAACGTCTTCTACTCGCAACCCCCTTTTCTGATCTAAAAAGTAAGACAGGACCGTGGCATTGTAATCTCTACCGTTTGCAGTCAGACTGATGTCACGTCGGCGCACACAGATTCGTAGTCGGTTAATCAGCAATGTGATCGTATACCAGCGGATCCAAAAAGTGGATGAGGGTTTCGAGTTTCTCAAGTCTTGAGGATTCGTCACTTTTCGAATAGGTGTCGAAGGTACGAAACCAATGATTCCAGCGTTTGGCTGGATCTGCGGAGTTTGGGTTGGCGTAGCTGCAGAGCCATTGTTAATTGTGACGTTTAAAATGCATCCGAGAGTGAGTTAGAAGACAGCCTGATTTACCAATAATAAACAACCCTTGTCTGAGAACAAGCTTAGGTGAGTTGGAATGTATGTATAGAGATTCAGTAAGCATATTAGGATATTTACTACAATGTGCAGACGATAATCATGAAAACAGGAGAATGGCACTTGGTTTTTTTCAAAACGAATATTTTCATTGTTCAGGATCAAATCGGTGTGCGCTCACATCCATGAACATGTCGGCATGCTGGGAAACCTGTCAATTTTGGCCAGATACTAACCACCTCGTGCATCTTGTGCGTATGTACGCGTATTTCGTTCGTGCGATATGTTTAGTAGTGGGCAGAACTTGGTCAGGTTTTACGGTGTGACTGTCGCCAGCTAACTTGGAACGGCCATCAAACGGCATCTACAGCTCTTTTGTCACGGAATCGACAGGTGCCCCGCAAGGTCACTCATTTAAGTTAGAACGAATGCGTCGAAACCATACTTTCGTTCGCAAAGTGTGGGAGAAGCGCTCATGAAACAGTGCGTCGTTTAAATCAAAAGCATAGTAAATGGCAGCTAACTGCACGATCAACGGATATAAAATTGATCTGCAAATCCAGAGTAATCAGAAGTGTGGAGGAAGTTATACCGCCAGGATAGCCTGGAACAGTTGGTTCGGGCAGTCACTTTCTCAGCTACGAACCATGTGCTGAAGTACAGTGGTTGCAAATGCAGCAGCCTCGTTCACCGAAAATGTGTGGGTTAAGGGAATGAGCAAAATATAGCTCAAAATCGCGCGTATATGCAGCAAGATTTCACTCGGTTCACCAGGTTTAGTGGCGTAAAGCGAAGCTGCCCTGTCTCTAACTTTATCGATGGCGCACTGCTTGGGGCGTCTCTACCCACCTCCGGGAGCTTTAAGGGAATGAGCAAAATATAGCTCAAAATCGCGCGTATATGCAGCAAGATTTCACTCGGTTCACCAGGTTTAGTGGCGTAAAGCGAAGCTGCCCTGTCTCTAACTTTATCGATGGCGCACTGCTTGGGGCGTCTCTACCCACCTCCGGGAGCTAGATGGCTCAGTGGTTAGAGCGCAAATTTACTGACAGGAAGGCCCGTGGTTCGAACTCACCTCTGCCTCCCGACTCCTGTCTAGGTTTGGGAAACGTGACACTATCCCAGCCGTCGTGCATCCTTCGGGTGGCGTGGCAATTAAGCAACAAAAGGGTGCTACAGCCGACCAACTTTTTCATGGTACTTAGCCAGATTTTACTGACCGGAAGGTTCGTGGTTCGAATCCGACCTCCGCCACTCGACTTCCCCTGTCTAGTCTTGGGCAACCTGGCAGTATCTCAGCCCCCGTGCTTCCTTCGGGTGGCATGGCAGCTAGGCACCGGAAGGGTGCTACAGCTGAACGCTTATAGCCAACGACACGCAGTGGACGTAATTCTTTTCTAAATATGTCATTGTTACAGCCTTGGAACCTAGCTATGCCACTGAACCGTGATCCTTAACCTCTGACAGTTCAACTTCTTCCGTTTTCTACAGGTTCTATTATTCTCTCTGTATCTTGTCCATCCTGGTGTCGAACCAACATTTCGTTTGTCATATGCACACTAATGGATACCTCAATGGATGATTTGTTTGCGGATATGGATCGTTCTAACCAGGCTGCAGTTGAAATGGGTAGGTGTGAAAATCCCGAGAAAAAACGTTATTTTTCGTTCATTATTTTGTTTGCGCTATGGCGAGGTGGCTCAGTGGTTATAGCGTGAATTCGCTGACCGGAAGACCCGTGTTCCAATCCGATCTCTGCCTTTTGACTTCCCCTGTCTAGGCTTGGGCAACCTGACGGTATCCCAGCCCTCGTGTTTTCCTCCGGTGGCATGACAGTTAGGCACCGAAGGACTTCTATAACTGGACGATTTTTTTTTCGACTTTTGTTTGCGCAGTTTGGACTCTGCAGTTCTCCTTCACAGGTGGTAGATTACGGAGTAGACTAGTAGAATAGTAGTAGAATACGCACGTGGAAACAAACGTCATGGAAGGTTGTCAACGTGCAGCTTAATGGCTGGGTGTTGTAAGATTGTCTAAACCTAGAATATTGTGGTGTGTGTTCTGGGGAATCAGGAACAGACAAATAGTTCTGTTAATAATGCTGGTGGAAACTATATTGAAACAGCTGGAATTGGATAGATGGGTTGTAGCGTTGAAAAAATAGACTGAGACAGAAAAGACTAACTTCAACAGGAAACAATATCGGCAAGCACACAGAAGGGGGATGGTTAAAGCTTAACAAGGATGAGAAACATATTTATAAGAGCGTGGATGATTTGAACGTTGTGGCGTTCAAACTGTCCCATTCGAGACTTCTGGTACGGTTGGCTTCACGTATCGTCACGGACAGTGTATAGTCGGTGGCAGTGCTTTAGTAACAATGAGCCAAAGAATGACTGAACGCGGCTTCGTCTGGAAAAGCGTAAAAAAGCGAATAAACACTGATTATCAACTTTTCAACTTATCAACTTTCGAAAGACTGAGCTCGGAATACTGAATAAAATTAGATAAATGGAAGCTGAGTGATAGTTAGCGAAATACATTCATTTGCAAACAAACTTGGTTTTGCGGGAGACCTACATGGAATCCAGCTGTATCTGTCATTAATGGTGTTTTCAAGCAACTGAATGTGCGTCACCAGGCCGCCTCATGTCTCACTTGCTACGATATTCGGTATGCCGTGATGCATGTATAGACGTAATGTACTACTCATAAGGTTGCCGAAAATTCTTCGACAGCGCACGACAGGTTTCGCCCTTAGGGTTCATCAGGTAGGCGCACTTCCTGAGTTTCCGTCAACCTTATCTTCTGCTTGAACCTAAATTGCACGAAGTTAACGAAATACGCTCACCATCCTCACCGACAGCATGGAATCAGTGTTCGACACCGATGCTTCGCTGCTGTATAATTGTGATTTATTTGAAAGCCTTGTTGTGAAGAAAATAATAAAACTGGACGGAGAATAAATTTAGTGTACGCTTACTACAATCATTCTGAGGTGCCTACACTTCCAAAAACTCACTCAGGCAATCTGTATAGAAACCGACAACAAGATCGCCACTGACATCGGTTAACAGCCATATCTTGCAGCATCTTCAGCCGTGCGCAGCGAGGATCACGCTGTCCCCATCCTGGAAGGCGAATAGCACCGACGGCACCCAAACTTTTTGTGAATTCCTTCATACTCCTCTGCCAGATCAAGGTTTGGCCACCTCTCTGCTTCCGCCACTCTGAATCGGTCATGGAAAACGGCACTCTCCGGTAAGCGGTGGTTAAGCATAAGCAACACATGTCCCAACCAACGCAGCTTCTGATGCTGGACGCACTTCGATGGACGTACCCGTTGCACAACCGAAACCTCGTTTCCTAATTGTCTTGTTATGGATACGCCGATACCAACCCACACGAGCTACGGTTTTGAGACAACGATTGTCGAACATCTGAAGACGTCTCAGGTCCGCTGCTCGAATAGGCCAAGTCTCACAGCCATACGACAAAACAGCCTGCACTGTAGCTTGATACACACGCTCCCAGAGATTCAGGAATACACAACTTTGACACCATAGGTGTCCCAAATTAGCAAATGCGACCCGAGCGTTGCGGGTTTGTGCATTCAACTCGTCTGTCACACTACAGTCAGAACTAATACGACTTACAAGATACGTAAAACGCTCCACAACTTCCAGTGCCTCTCCCTGGATTGTAAGTGCCATTTGAGAGCAAATTTCGTTCCGCAGAAGAGATCCAGCTGCGTTCTGAGTAGGTAGTTGTGATAAATCTGTTAAAACTAACCACCAGGGTATTGGATACTTAGGTACTGACCTTGCTAGAAATACATGGTTAGTCCATGGGACAGCGTGAACCATGCTGGGAAACTACTTAGTGTGTCACAACTCTCACGTTGCATACGTTCTGGCACCCGTTGGCACGAAAGTCAAACCGGTTTAATAGGATGGATAAGGAGCGACTACGTAATATTTAAATATACCCACATTCCTTATTAGGACGCAAAAACAAATCTTGCTGGAGGCGCCACTTACTGAGGATTATGTGTATTTAGGCTAAACCAAATGGGTTTCTGTAACTCACTGTAGGTGAATGTTGTTTCTGATTCATGATCAACTCTCGGTTCAACAGTGGTATCTTTCTAATGGATGTAAACGCTATAAAGTGTGAGATGTTTTATACTCTTCCTAAGGGGACTTCACCAACCCCCCAGCTTTTCTACTTGAACAGGCTTTGTTTCTTTTGGTTTCAGACCACCCAGTGAAAGAAGACACTTCGGAAAATTATTTTTTCCGTCGTTTCCGTGCCTTTGATGAAGAAATCAAAATTAAAATCTGGAGACACGAAGATCTATCGAATGCACTGGTGTACGAAATTTCCATGAATTACCATAATGCGACGTGAGTGTTAGCCGATGCTGTTGAGCCAAGCCTCTTCCCTTTGCCTCGCCTTTGCCTTCCTGAGCACATGAATGGCTGTTTTCGGCTCATAGCTGAACTAATTATGTCAAGTTTGTTTCTCCATGATCATAAATGCGCTGTCCCGCTTCACGAAAAGGTCGAATGTTGCCTCTTACGGAGTGACAATTATGGATATTCTGTAATGGTTGGCCCATTTGCCTTTGTATTCCTTTAACAACTTTTGTCAAGGTTTGTTTGGGTCATTCCCAATTAATACTGTATACTGTATTATACTGCATACACAACTGGGATTTAGTGGTTTCTAAGCTATATTAGGTAAATCCTTCTTTACGAACACAGGTCTGAATGTTGTTACTTCTTCCATCGCGCGATTTGGTTCGAAGATGACCTGTTATTTTCAGGCCATCAAATTTCCCTTTTGTCGCACCTGTCATCTCTATCCGATTCACACAACCCTATGGTCCTGCGCAGTAGTCATCAGATCCTTCCACTCGGTTCATTGCAAATTAGAGTCTCAGATGTGAGGGAGTACACTCACCCGAATATCACAAGAGAAGTGTCATACGCCATGGGCGTGTTACATTAATTTGCAAATTAATTTGATGTTGACGCGAGACTCAGTTGAAAAAGTCCTCCGCAACCTTGTACTAATCAATAAACTAATAATAACCACTCGGATGTAATACCCTTTCGGTACCTAGCTGACCCGCTACCCGAAGGAAGCACGAGAGTTGCGGTACTGCCAGGTTGCCGAAGCCTATCCAGGAACAGTTGAGATTGCAGGATTGCTTCCGAACCACGCAATTTGGGCCAGTAAGTTGGCGCCTTAATCAATGAGCTCTCGAGCTCAACTCAATAAGTGGCATTGTATTGTGAGAAATGTCAGACCTTGTTATTATGTGAATAATTTTTGAGCTCTTGTGTTGGCCTAGGGATTCCCACCCCAAGCTGTATATATGTGATATGTTCCAGGGTGCTCTCACACGCTGAACTGTTAATCTATCCAACTCGAGTAATATTTTGAGAAGCTTACTGGTGGTGCTTCCCATTATGAATGACTGACAAACAAGGACGCAAAGAAGACTTCCTGGCCATTGCACGGCTTTAGCTTTCACTGGGATAGTCGTCATAAGCAACATCAATGGTGGCCCTGATGCTTCGCTATCGTTGAATGCGAGATGTCGGATAACTTATTCAGTCCTGCAGCTAGGATACACTTTTTAGCTCCTTAGTTTAAAGTGGTTAACCACGTCAATACGTAGAACTAACACATAGACGTCTAATAGTGCAATCGCTCTAGCGCTGGCAAATTGAAAGGCTCGTCTAGTATTCATTCAGCTTAATTGCCCATGATAGTGGCATTAAACTGTACTATAATGCCAAACAACCTAGGCCCCTTTCCTTGTTGCTGGATGTCTTCTATGAAGCTCCGGGAGCTGAATACACTCGGTTTCGGTGTTTCAGCACCAACTCACGAAACCACTGACTCTTGTGCCAACTCTTACCTGCTTACTTACCTACTTACCTACATACGTACGTACGTACCTACTTACTTACTGACTGATTGACTACTTGAATATACCTTTCTGATTTGAGTCTAGACATGTTACCGGTCTTTTATTTTCTGTTTCTGCCATTCGCCTAAAGTTGTGAAGACAAGGGCTATCACATACTTGCACTGTTCACAAAGGCCACTCTAGGTGCCACTGGAACCTGGCTACATGCGCTCTTTTTACTCGATATTCCTACAGACAGTCCACAGTCCTGAACGCTCTCATGTTACAGCCCACCATGATCAAATCTGCATCGATAAACTGAAGGCTAAATAATCTTGACCGATTGATGTTTGACACTGCTCTGGACAAGATAATATGTGATTTACACGGAAATGAACTGAACTGAGATCTAACCGTTAGCAGACATTGACTTCGTAGTCAAATACCGAGTTGACGTTACTTCATGGACTTTACAGATTTGCTGTGGACTGCCCCTTGAACTTACCTTGTATTGTGATTCCAGCAAAGGTACTAGGAGTTTTGAACGTGTTTGACGAATCCCTGTCCTCCTCAATTCGCGACCCTTGTTCTCGAATTTGTTTCACATATCAAAGTGATGTTCCTACCTTTGTTAGATATTTTCGCCATGAATGTGGTCGCGAGGTTTATGTGCTGTCCTAATAATCGCGCTTCACGGGAGCTTGTATTGCTCTGGTTCATTCATTTTTCGCTATTCTTTTTTTCAGCGTTGGCCAACCCCTTCAGTTTGTCTCCCCATGGTGCTCGTTGTTTTCAGGTTCCTCAGCGAAACTTTATCCCAGTTGGCCTCCTGTACAACCCTGTGCCCTCGTTTGTAAAACCAATTTTCATGTGGACCAGAACAAGGTATCTTTGCCGGTGTTTCCTCTTTCAAGTCGATGGCAAAACCTCTTCAGATTACATCTCCAAGCTGGCAGCGATTCGATCCCGGTGGTTTGGCTAATTTCCTTCTCGAATGGTGCAGTTTACTACTTCGTGCGCGATGCGGAAATCCGCTATGCCCTTCTGTTTTCACCACCGTGTTGTGAACCCATGTCTTTATGGTCTGTCATCGAGAGCCCAATCATGACGAGAACTTCATCAACCTTGCCTTCTCCAGCTCCGAACGATCTTGTGGTCGCTTTGAGTGGATCTGGGTGTGGCGCAGCGATATGGCTCTGTTCCGAGGACAAACATACAAAACAAATGTCTAGGTGGGACTTTCAACCATTTTGCAGTTTCTGATCAGCGTATTCTTGTCAGGAGCAAACTCTTTTTGTGCTTATTATTGGACACGTTCGCCTTTGTGGATTTGGCTGAAGACGCTGCAGGGTGCGCCTAGCCTATATGACTTTCTTACCAGAGTGTCCGAGGAGTACTTGATAGTGTATATATCTCAAAATCGTTGTATTAGACAGGGTCCTTTCTTTGGTCCCTACTCTCTTCTACGTCGGTTTTCTTTTTCTTCTGTTTTTCGTAATTGCACGGCAGTGAGGCCTCAACGTGAACATGGATGTTGCTGTTTATCACAATCTGTTATCATCTGTTGTTTTAACGGGCTCCCACAAGATATGCGACATCTGCTGCCGGCTTTCCATGTAAAACTCAGTGATCATCAGACTACATGACGTGAGATATCGGATCGAATCTCCTGTGAAGTGAATGAGTTATGCTTTGCTTGTCATCTATAATGATGAAATGATTATATAGTATTATATAGTATTATTAACTTTTCAGTATACACTGATCTCACATGAAGGGTCGAATCCATATGCGAACCCTCGACTTCACTTTAGAACTTAGAATAAAGTGTTCACCGGCTTACGTCTTACTTGGAGCCTCTCGCTACAATGTATATCTAAAGGTCCTCAACCAACATATGGACGTGTTTGTGAGAACATCTACGAGTAAGCACCAAGACAAATGTAGGGTAATACATTTGTTGCTTTCACTACATCCAGAGGCTCTTGTGAAGGTGATATAGTTTTCGTGTGATGTTGATAACCAAAGCTCCCGACTTAAAGCTGCCACCTTGACGTAGAGGTCGAACTTGAGTGCTGTAATGGTCCCGCGGGATACACTGGCTAGAACTTCTTTACATAAGGTGCAACCTTATCAGGAATGTCAAAGGAGAGCAGTCAGACCAAGAGCAGCGAGACCCCATATCACGAGTAATTGTACTACAAGACAGTCTGGGGGTGAGGTCCTGTCTTCTTCGTCAGGAGTGTTAAGGCAGTAAGGTGTTTCCCACAGGCGACCAGCATGTCCTGATTCATGGAAGCAGCGGTGCTGCCTTCCCCGATGAAGGACGGGTTGGAAAAGTTTGGCCCCCAAAACCGCGCACTCCGATCGCCCAACGGTTGGGTGACCACCGGCGCATAATCCAATACGGTGGAAGTACTTTTAAAACCAAAGAGCCCGGTGCTGCTCAGAAGGCACCTGTTGTGCGCAGTCGCATCAGGAATCAGACAGCAATACCTTATTGCCTGCGCCCTCGGGTTAGGCCGACCCCCTGCAGCCGAGTACGTTAGACGGTTGAGTCATCGGCTCCGGGCAGGGTCCCCAAAAATAACCCTACTGTCCGCCGCTTCGTGGCTCAGACTTTTGAGCCAGAGGCTAGGGGCAGCGTATCTGAACAAAACCCTACATCCTCCCGCTACCTTATGAGGCAGACTTTTGAGTCAAAAACTCAAAGTGGAGCACCTCAATCAAACCTTCTTCCTCAGCCTGGACAACCGGGAAGTATCATTTGCCCGCTCAGTTTGGTGTCCACCGATGTCCCTCCCAACCCCCCTCCCACCACAAGCAAGCCATTCGACTCAGTTATCTGACCGATGGGCCTTATACTGCTCATTGCCTATTAACAATAAACAAAATAATACCCTTCTAAATCCATGAGGTCCTTTCTACATAGAGACTTCCAAGGTCCGTACTTTGTGTCAAATTGGCAAGCAGGCAACGCTTGCTGAAACCTTGTACTCCCCTAAAATTGATGTATGCTGTGTCTCCGGAACACGCATACACGACCCGAACGTGGTTAAGCATATCAGAACGCCAAGAATGAACTCAACCATGTCATGTTTCTCCCTCCGTGTGTTCGGTGACCCAGAAGCGACGACTCGTGAAATATATAGCGTGGGAGTCGCGCTCAGCCCCAGTGCTGAATGCGCTTAGCTAGAGTGAGTACCAGCGAACAGTCGTCTTTGCGTCGTCCGGTTACTTAGTCCTATCAAGCTCACTGACTCTTCATAAAAAGCGTTGCCTGTTTGTAGTGTCGGCTCCCCAACGGACTGCAGTTCTGATGCTGAGGAGGTTACTTTCTATGGAGAGCTATCCGGGCTCATTCGTAAAGCAAAAAGCACTGACACTGTGATCCTTACAGGCGATATGCATGCTCAATTAGGCCGTCTCAGCTTCCTGGAATCACATTTGGGCGGTCGATTCGCAGACGGTGCTCGCCGCACAGACAACGGAGATCTACTCCTTCAGTTGTGTGCTGACCATGAACTGTTTTATGTAAGTACGAACTTCCAACATAAACGTTCGCATCGTGTAACCCAGCGGCCGCCAACTGCAAATCAACCGTGGAACCAGTTGAACCACGTGGCCGTCAGCCATCGGTTGAGAGCCATAATTCAAGACTGTCGTTCCTCCTGGGGCACACCACTTGATTCCGATCACACCATGGTGCGTGCACGCCCGACAGTTCGCTTACCTTCAGGCCATCACAAATTAGCAAGAAGTATGCCAATCCACTATCTTTGAAGAACGATGACAGCTCAACAGTACCGGCCCAGCAACTCTCCGCAGTAAACCACTACTGTGGTGGCAGTGAGCATGTGGATGAAGCCCGGCAAACTGTGAAAGGAGCTATGTTAGTGGCGTTCAGTGCTGCCTACCCATCTTCTCCGATTCGACCACAAGATTGCTATCCATGATTGATGCCAGGAAATCCATACCAGCAGGCAACGAGTACGACAGCGCACACAAATCCCTCAAACGCCAAATATTGAACAGTTTAAAGAAAGACCGAGAGCTATGGTGGACATCGAAAGCTCGGGAGATGGAGAAGGCCTTTGCTTTGGGAAACAGCCGTGCCCTATATCAACTGATACGATCGACTGGCCCTGGGAAAGCGACGGACAGCGAAACGATAAGTGAAAACGATGGCTCAGCTATTCACTCGCAAAATCGTCCACTGGAAAGATGGGTCGAACACTTCGAAGAACAGTTCAGCTGACCTCCTGCAACACAGCCTGTAGAGATAGCTCATCCAGGCGAATGGAATGAACACATTGATCGCCCGTCGGAAAAAGAAATAAAGTACGAAATATCCGTAATAAAACGTGAGAAGGCACCTGGACTGAGCCGTCTGTATCCAGCTTTTTTCAAAGAAGGCGGAGACCCCCTGGTTATCCCTCTGTCAAAACTTATTGGTGCTATATGGATTGACGAGAAGATGCCTTCAGAATGGGTCATGTCGACAGTTATTCCTATCTGCAAAAAGGGTACGCAGGCGCTGTGTGAAAACCATCGTGGCGTCAGCCTATTAGCTGTTGCATCTTAGGTCCTCTCTGGTCTTATCCTTCGAAGGTTGACTGAACACAGATAGAGATAAATCCGTGGAAACCGAGCTGGGTTCCATTCTGCAAGAGGATGCATATCTTCACCCTCTGACAAATTCCGGAACAACAGCACTGCTTCTAGCAACCAACAATGATTATGTCTCTTGATCTGAAAGCTGTCCTTGACTCTGTGGACCGTCAGGCACTATAGCAGTGTCTGCGGAACAAGGGTGTCCGCCATAAATTCTTGACCCTCCTTAAGGCGCTGTACGCCAACCCCCGTGGCCGTGTAAAGGTCTACGGGAGGCCCTCTCTCTACGTCAAGTGGTGTCCGACAGGGCTGTCCTCTTTCAACTTTCCTCTTCAACTTCGTCATTGATACGATCATGGAAGACTCACTATCAGCCTCTGATGCCTGTGGGGTCGAAGTGTTACCTGGGCCTCCGCTCGCGGACATCGAGTACGCAGACGACATTGCTCTTCTTTGATCTGACCTCGTGGTAATTCAAACAATATTAAAAAAGCTAGGTAACTCTGCCTCACGGTTTGGAATGCGCTTCACACCTGCAAAGTGTAAAGTGCTACTGTAAGACAGGGTGGACATAGACCCTAGCCTCATGCTTGCGGCTGAACCGATTGAGGTAGTAGACATTTGTTTACCTGAGCAGCTGTATCAAACCTGGTGGTCTCGCGAAAGATGGTATTTCCATGCGGATTGGAAAGGCCAGGGCGGCTTTTGTGAAACTGCGTCACCTGTGGTGTAAACATGGTATCAATTTATCCATCAAGCGTCGAGTTTACAATGCTGCGGTGCGCTCCATACTACTGTACGGATCAGAAACCTGGCCGTTGCGCGCTGAGGACGTCAAAAGTCTTTCAGCGTTTGACCATCGGTGTCTTCGGAGCGTTGCTCGAGTCTGGGGAGAACATCCTTTCGATGCACAGCTGTCATTGCACTCGAGGGAAGCACAAAGGTTGAGATACGCTTAGGTCTTTCAAGCCTGGACAAAAGCAGTCCAGATGTCAATTTCAGGTTTGAACCACAGACCTGTTCAGTAAATGCACACCTTAACCAGTAGGCCATCTCGGCACTGGACGGCACCTTCACTCCAAAAACTATTCTCCGAAAACGGGTTCAGTGAAGACCCTAGAATCATCTTCTCCATAGATCAGTTAACGAAAAAGATTTACTGGAACAGGTTGTTCCAGGCTTTTAGGTAGATTTTTTCCTTTCCGCGGCAAATTTACCCCTCCCCACCTAAACTCCCGTATATTCCGAAAAAATCATGATGCATCTACTGCATTAGTGTTGCCATATATTAATTAGTAAAACCAAAAACTTGGACCTTCTCGTCGAAGCTGAAAACTCTGAAACGGGTCTCATGAATGGCGCTATCCACGCTTTCACTGGACCATTGCGTTATGTAAACCAGAGGTTTTTCGGCTTTCTGTGAAGCAATACTGGTAATAACGTGATGTGCACAGAAACTACTGTTTCCATCTGTAGGCTTACGTTGGAAGTTATGTCACTACTCATCCTCTGTAACACACTATTTGCATGCTTTTTGCCTGCATGCGTAGCGGTTTGCTGTTTGCAACAGACGGAAGTCATATGAAAATTCAACATCTTGTTAATTCATGCCTTCATACAGTTGTACTTGGACCCGGACTGAGGCTGTTTCAGGATACTATCGCGTCAAAACAATGGGTCGCCAAATGGGCCTGGATCCGAAGTGGTACTTTGTTCCGCAGCTTACGCGCCCGCAAAAATTTACATGCAGCACCTAGTCCGCCAAATTTCCTCGCCTTATTACTGGTTTGTTTGGTATTCACAGCAGTGAAAGCTCTGAGCAAACTCTTACTCTCATGTTCGGCCGTGTCTCCTATATTCTACGATGTACAGGTTTTAGCTCCTGACATCAATTTCCTTGGTTAACCTAGACGCTATCATAACCTATCTATTTCGATTTTGTGATATTTCGCCACCAGAACCTAACGCACAACGGTGAAACGGCCGTGTACCCTATTTTAATTGGTGCCACCCACTTGTGGTAGAGTCATATATGATAGTCGTGCGTTCGTCACCCAAATTTACTCATGATAGTCGTAAACTATTCCCGCCAGGGGACATCTGCTTACCGCTGATCTTTTTAGCGGCGTTGTCTTCTCTTTCATCCTGATTGTAGTGAATTACGAGTAACTGATTTTCGCACCCCAGTTGCTCCAAGTCCTGTCTGTGATATCCAAACACATGGCTCTTGGCTTCATCTCGTAACAACAAGCGGCCACGTATTATCACTACACATCAGTTGCTGCCGAGGAGGTGCTTCTCAGACAGGTGATGAATGGCGACTTATCTGCCAGCCAGGCAACTTCCCTCGTGTTCCCACCCATATGATTCCAGCAATAAGCGCGACAGATCAGTTACAACTTGTACCCAAGTGGCGGTATTTCGACCTTCGTGGATTCGTGCGAATGTCGGGTACGTTCTGTAGCATGAAAATCACACCCTTTATATCGTGACAAATATCCTCCAGAACATATTTGTTTCTCTTAAGTCTATCAAACTTCTCAACTGTTAGTCTTTATAACGTATATATGTGCACTAGGTTCTGAATCCTCATGAAGTGCCAAGCAACTCGCTACCTCGTTTTGCTACCATTGTAACAGCAGATGCTACTGCTGAGGCCTGTGAGTCTATGGTTTTCTCGAAGCTCCGTCCCATGTGTAGTGAAAGGTGAAGTTTATTACGGAACTTGTGGAACTGCTTCGCAGTGTTCGTTTGCAGTTGTTTGCTAGTCAATAGATATCCGTGAAAGTTCAAGAAGACGCGTGAGAATGTTCAGTTTTTAAAAAAAACATATGCATATGATACGTTTACTTTCCTGTCCAATAGTCTGTAACTGCTTTGTTGGTGTTTACTAATAGATGACTCCGCGACAAAGAGCTTTTCTCCTCACACCCTTACCGTGGCTTCACAGAGGCGCGCCCTCAATGGTGCTCGTGCATCCAAGTTATTGCACCCAGTGCCTAGCCCCCCTACCAGTCTCCCCAAATGAAAAGTCCACTGACAACCCTGTATCTGTGTGTCAATAAACCAGCTACCGTTTCCAATGCGCAGCTATCTACTTCACCTCCCTGAATCATCGGTGAACGAAACTGAGGCAGTACAGTACACGGTTTTTACAGCTGGTGATGATAATAGCGTCTCACTTTTCGGTTTTTCAAGTATCCTTTATCTTACTTGAATCGTATAGCGCTGTCCCATACTTTTACTGATACGTTTTCTGTTCATGTCACTTTTTATACATCCTTTGAGGAATTGAAATGTTTTCGCTTATTCGTTTTCCACACTGAACATGCATTTCTTCGCTAAACGTGAATGCAACTATCTTCGTTGGCTTCAAGGCACTCGATTTCAGGTCACGTATCAGCGCAGTGTTACTGTTTCAAGTTCGTTGTGTTTCTTATCGTTTTAAATAACCTACCTTTTATCCCTTTTCTGTAGACGGTCATTTGGGTGGAAGGTTATCTACCGGTGAGAAGATTCGGTTGGTTGATTTACTTTGTGGAAACGAGACTGCAGAACCTCAAGGCAACGGGTACTTGGGCTCACTAAACAGCACTGTCAACACGCTTATCAACGTTCACTGCCGTCTCAGAGCGTATCGGGCACTTTTACAACTCTTGGGTTTTCTTGACGTGGATGATCTATCCCCCAAACTATCTACTGGTCCAGAAGCACCCTTAAGGCGTTTGGTCAGTGTGAAAATGCAAACATCGTTGGTCACCAACGCTCCCGTTAGCTCCATTGAGGATTCTCCTTTCGAGCTGTCTGCCATTGTGTCCTTAGAGGTATTTCATGTTTCCCCATCCAAACTTTTCTTACAGTCTTGAACATGCATTTATGAATTAAGTAGTTCCTCTAAGTTATGTTTTAGGGCAAAGTCGTTGTAATTTCTTTCCCGGGAACCCCTTTTTATACAAACCAGCGAACGAAAGATACACCGAATAGGAACACTTGCCGCCGTGTTTGCCGTATCTATATACCCGCATTACAAGATAAAATTATAGCTATGCGTTGACTGGTGAAGGCTTGCGTCTGAGCTAGGGACATTTGCTTTGGTCGGAACAGTTACGGTGTAGGTTTACCAGCTGGGACACCGGGCATATCTGTAATTATGCATGACATCGCTCGTCAGCTCGTCGGGTTTTCGTTGTTTGTTGGGACTATTTCAACCTGTTGAACCCGCTCAGGATCACTTGGAGCGTCATTCAGCAGGCTCAAAACAGGTACTGCAATTTTGACTGATAACTTGCGTGCGTAGATGATGAGGCTGGCCGATGCCTGGGACTCAAATGTTGACAAAGATCGATGTCACATTGTCCCTTCTTTAGTTGCCCCTCCAAGGTGCGTTTTAATAGAAACCTCCCTCCTTGGAGGGACTACTTTAGATGCTCATTCTAGGGCAGAGCAGTCGTACTATGCATAGCAGTGCATTGTGGATAAAACGAATCACTGCTCTAAAAGTTGACAGGTGTTCTTCTTATGCTTCCTTTAGGCTCCACCAGCGCAGATGAATAATTCCCTGACACCCGCGACCCCACTGCAATCCCTTTCGGCAGAGGAATTGGCCTCATTGCTGTTGCATCCCGAATCTCGAACCTCATCATTTGAACGTGAATTATTTTTGGTGATGAGGTTGACTCCGTTGACTTTCTCCGCCATGGAAAACCATCTCAAACAAGACAGCACAGGCCTACCTATTTTCACCTATTCGGAGCCCTGGTTCTCAAGTTGCCACCAGTGGACCAGAGTCGAGTGAGTCTCTCGGGTCGTAGCAATGCCCCGTTAATTGATTCTTCATATTTGATTGGGTTATTTTTTCAAAGTGCGAAGATGTTCGCACTGCAATATCCAGCTGTATGCGTATTGTGCTATTTGAAAGGATCAGTAGCTGAGGAGAACTTGATCATTTTGTCAACGTCCATTCCGTGAGAGAGATCAAGAACCAGCTGAATGTTAAAATCAGGTGAAGTTGTTTGCTGCCATTTCAGCGCGGCAAACATTGATAGCTGGAAGAATATTGGTACGATTGCGGGTTTTCAAGGGCCATCTGTTAATGTGAGAATACTTCGTTCTTTATAACAATGCTTTTGGAGCCACTCGCGTTCTCGGAATTTTTTCAGTGGACTTATTTCGGTTTCGTGTTTGTTGACGGCCTCTGTTTCGCACATGCAAAGTGTTGCTGCCACTAGTTTTCTCGAATCCTCGTTCTGATGAGGAATCACTAGTCCTGTTTTCAATTTCACTGTCTGGTAATCTGTTCGTGTTATCGTATGGTGTGACGCCTCCGGTGGCCTTCAAACAGCCGCCATGAGGTCTCCCCTCTTGCGTTCGCTGTGACATCGTATACGTGCCTTTCATCATCCATCCACCTGCACTCTTCAAAACATTTTCCCCGATTTTCCGCTTCAGCACCTCGAAATCCCATGTATTCAGGAGACAAATGATACTTCCTTCAAACTGGCATACCTGTATCAAATCGTCGAAGAGTCCCAAACTATTTGACGCCCTTCGACTGGATGTGTCCCTAGAACTGTTACCTCCCAGTTTACCTACTTCGTTGTTCACCGCTGATTTATGTGGACAAATGAAGCGACCTGTCGAAAACTCGTGTGTAATAAATGCACCACCCTTGCGTACCAGCATTGGTGACTTTCATCTAGACCGGATTTTATGGCTATACCCACTCGATCAGATACCTCGAGTTAGACAGAAGCTTGGTCAGGAGTCCGAATATCCGAGTCCATCTTCGTTAACGTTAGCGTACTCAGTCGACTCATTACATCCTCTCAAGTCGTTGTTTTCCGGTACGTTTGTCAGTTCACCCCTCTGTTTTACTGCATTTCACCTCGGTATCGTGCCCTTACACCTCTTGTGTCAGTTATCGTGGTCTAACGGAACGAACTCAGGGAGTTTGCACAATCGTTGCTCAACAATTAAACCATATAGCTAATGACCAACCCTTACCGGTAAACGCGAACTTTAGATTTACCTAGGACGCGTACTTTTAGACTAATTCCACTTTTCGTCAGATGACATAGATTCCTGTAGAGGTTCGGCTCTGGACGTCACCTTCTGGGACAAAGGATCATTATATATTGTTGGGGATCACAAATTGTGAGTACCATGAATCCCTGAGGTGATCCGAGTCCCCAAGCTTTCGGATTAAGTTGGAATTCCACCATTCAGCTACTGGTTGGTGGTAAACGTAAAGTATCCTTTCAGCATAAACTGCTTTGCAAAATGGAACCCAAACTTATCATGCGTGTAGTCTGCACCGAATTTCCTCTTATTACGAACACTGAACTTCGCTATCGTAACACTGTATTGAGAAAAAATTTGTTATAAAAAAGCAGCAGGAAGGATGATCGGATGCAGTGGTAGTCTAGGGCCTCACGCTCGTTATGAATAGAAGACGGTGGCAGAGTTTATGCTGAACTCGTTTGCCTGCGATATCTTCGATCGAAGAGAGAATGTATCACCCATAGTTCATGACAACTTTTACACCTGAATGAAGTCGAGGAAGAACGACATTTCGATGGTACTGTTGAAAACCGTGTAATTTCGCAACTCGTACGCAACCAATCAATCTTTCCCCTGAGTTTTCCTGTTCTTACCATGGCAAAGAAACTACCCTTCTTTTCTGTGAGTTGTTTGTGAACTGAGCAGGCGACAGTCCAGTGTGTCGTGGTTTGTAGTGGTGGACGCTTCTGCTTATTGAACAACTAAGTAAGGTAGTGACTCTCTAAAAAGTGAAAACTTATTCGGGCCATTGTCCACGTCTCATCATTACGTAACAATACATCACATCGGTTTCAACCCTTTGAGGCCCGTCATGCAGCCTGAACCTTCTCGTTTATTGTTGTTCGCAGTATGTCCAAACTATCGCCACATCCACCTACACAAACAAACGAATGGTGCGAATGCTGACGTCTTCATTCCAACCGGAACTACGCTATTCTCTGCAGGATTGTCACCTACACCACAGAACTGGAATAAGCAATAGTTCCATTTGAGCTAGTTGCTTGCAGTTCAATGCACCTGAGTTTTTTTGTTAATGTTCTTACAGTAAAATCGAGAAAGCTAATTTTTGAAGGCGGGAACTTACCATCAGGTCCGTGGTTCGAATCCAACTCCAACGTCTCGACTGTTCCTTTCTAGGCTTGAGTGACCTGACGATGTTTCAGTCCCTCTGCTCCCTTCGGCTGGCATAAGAAGCACTGGAAGGGCATCACAGTTAAAAGAGCAATATAGCACCTTCCAGACCGCGTGACATAGATTGCTTAGTCGTTCAGCTTTCAGGCAATACGAAAGTTTAACTGCTCCCGTGGCCTGGGCGCTCAGGTCTACTACTATTATCTTCCCTAAAGTTTGTAATTCATTACACGGCGGACTATCTTGGCTACTTGTATTTAATCTATGTGTAACAGCCAGTTGCAAATCAATCTTAATTCGTCGAAAGTCAACTGGTGAATTTTTTTCCCAACCTCCGCCAACACTGTGTAACAAACAATGCATGTGTGATAATAATCTTCGGTAACGTGGCCTCAGCTTACATTGTTTTATCACACAAGGTGGCAAGCATAAAACTCACATATGCGTTCGTCTTTATCTCATTACTTCTTCAATCCTTTCAGTGACCGTCGACTCAGATTCTCTGTTCTGTCTTATTTTCCTAAGCGAGCAGCCTTCGTATGAAGTCAACCTTTGTGGTGTTTCGGAACACTTTTGCAATGCGGATCCTCCTTACAATAGGAGATCAAGGTCAGACCTTTTCTGACCCACTTGCACTTAGGATAAAAGTGTTCCGTCAAAAGTCATGTGTGCTTGCTGACGTACCTTTTGCCATCCGGTGAAAAACCACAACAGCTGAGCACACACACGTCGATCTTTGTTGTTTTTTCACCTAGGCCGCGCATCGTAATCCTTTAGCTTAGTGAAGGCATTATGAAATCAGGTGAACCAAGTAACACTTGCTACGCCTTGTATTAATAGTAATAGTGACAGTGCCTAGTATTTGTACAAACAGAAACCATTGCTACTGGCTGGTAACTCGTACTGATAGTCGAGAGTTTTTGTTCTCCGTTTCGCAAAGAAACCTGTGTTCTTTTTTCCGTGTGAACCTTTCGTTAAAAAGGGTGTGCACGTACTTTACAACTTCTGCTATCTTAATCTTACCTCCGGGATAACTCTCGCTGCCAGAACACTTCCATGTCCCTCGATGCAGTCTATTCGGCCAGGTGCTTATTTTTAGGCCCAAACTCCACCCGGTCTTCATGATACCGCCCACATCAGCTATAGCCTGTGGGCCGCACTCGTGGATTTTTCGTTGTCACATACTGGAGCTTAGTGTAGATTCTACCGCTTTCTTACCAGGATTTTATTAGATTAAACTTAGTCTTTTTACATTCGAGCGGTATCTTCCCGGTCTTAGGAAGAAGGGTTGCTGAACAGGATCTTTGTCTTAATCGTTCGAGCCATACTTGGGTTTCACCCACTTCCTTCGCTCTCTCCCACTACGCAATCCACTTCGAACTACTTTACTGCACTGACTCATATATGGACGTAGTTTCTTTGACAATTTGACATTATCTTAGTTGTCTTTGAACCGATAAGCTGGTAAAATCGTACGTGGAGGTGGAGTAACTGACCTGTCGTGCAAGCTGTGGCTTACTGCTTTTCGCGTTGATCTATGTTTGTCTCTGTAGAAAATTAAAGAGGTCACGTGTGTTTTGTTCGTCCGCCATATCTAACCGCCTTCTGGAATGTATAGGAGTACGAAGTCGGGACCGTACATTTCCGTCACCGTGATCCCCTGTATCTGTTGTACAGTCGACTGAAACTTTTTGCGCACTTTGTTATGCAGATGTAAATTCATCAAGTAGTCTTTGTTGACCACAGTTGATCATGAATACCCACTGGCTGCTTAGGAGTGCACTTTCAGCTTATGAACAATGTTTAAGAGAACTGCTTTTTAGTAATAACATACGACTAATCAGCTTCTGTTCACAATCTTGTTTGATCAGATATATGCAAATCATGTCCGCATGCTTCGCTTGTGTCGCTGTCAAAATATGACTCAAACGGCTTAAGCGATAAAGAAGTGGAGTCCGCAATTCATTTAAATGAACAGCTGATTTCATACTTCGTTCCAACGGAACAGTGTGTCGTGTTCTCATGGAGGTATGTCACTTCCCACGGACCTGAAAGGCCCACGAAATTGTCGATCGAGCTGTCCGTTTCGGCCAAATGTTCCTATACCCTTTGGCTAGTTCACGAAAGTCTTCAGCGACGCCTTCAGCCTTCAGTGACAAAAGTGAGTATGTATTTATCGCTCACTGTGGCCAACGATTTTGTGCTCAATTAACCCGACTACTTAGTATATATTATGACTTGCAAGGTTGAAAACGGATTTAACCTATATATTAGTGCGATTCCCTCTCCCCACCACCGTAATAATTTGGGTTTAGCTATTTGTAGCAGCGATCAAGGGGATCTGCAATCCGTTTTTTACGCATCTGAAATAAGCACAAGCAAAAATTTGTTCCGGACAGTATTGTAGGCTGAAAGTGTCTGTATGTGTGCGTGTGCTGCTTAGACCATTCGCATTAACACTGTTGGACCCAGACAATGTTGTCTATCAGTTGCTCACCTGTTGTTTCTCACATCCTTGCTCGTTTCACCGAATGCACCAAATGAACAATGAGCGCAGGTCACAAACAGCATTTAACTAGAGTCTTTACCATTCTATTCTGTTATATCCTCACTCTAACTGAGTGATGCTTAAACGACCGAACCTGTCTAGTTCAAGCAATTTATTAACAAGAACACGAGCCTTGTGTAAAGCGGTCCGCTCTTAACTGAACCAGTGATTTGTTTAGCTATCTGTCGTAGTTGTGACATAGGTGCACAGAACGTTGATTATAAGGCGTTTCAAACACTTCGGAAGCTTCACAATCTAAGTAACTGGCTTTCAACAGTTGTAGTGAATGAAATGAGTTTAAATTTCTTTGTTTGTACGTTGATTATGATATTCCCCTTTACTTGCCGGAGGGGTGATTTTCCCTGGTATCACGTAATTTCATTAGATTATGGTGTTCTGTATCCGCCGGCCTTTTTCCAGTCGCTTCTTCGCCAAATCTAACATGACCGATATTCATTTAGTGTCATCTAGGATACCTCTACTCTCGACTTAGTTACGGGTGCTGGCTAAACTAATTGCAGTCTTCTCAGGAGTTCTACCAAGTAATCCTTAGTTGGCTCCACTGTATAACAGTTTGCGTAACATTCGAAGATGCAGTGTTGCCTCTGCAAAAGCCAACTGAATCCTTCGCTATCTTCATTTCACGCCATGAAGTTCGTATTCGTCTTGCTTTTTGGTTACGTTTCAGTTGCTGCCTAATTTTGGGGCGTAGTCCATTGCTCCTCGCTTTCTCGCCTATTCATAAACTTTATTTCAACGCACCCACATGGTGCAGTTGATGTCGTCTAAATTCGAATTAACCTTCGTTGTTACAAGCGCCATTTGATCAAAACAACTAGGACCCCGATGTTTCAATCATCGTCGTCAATGGCAGTAACACCAGTGGAGAATGCTGCTGATTCACTACCATACAAACATATCAACTTATTTCAATAAAGCTGTATAGTCAAAAGAAAAGGAAGACCTGAGGCTAGCCTTCTACAGGTATCCGAGCTGCCTACGTCTTCACCAGTCAGTTAGACGATCTGGATAGTAACGGGATGGGGTGTGCTAGAAGAACAAATAGGTTAAATAGGAAGAAGGGGGCATCAGTGGTGACCTGCTTCTGCTTACCTGCCTTGCTGCATGCGGTAGTTAGGGCGCTCGGCCGATAGCACCACCCGACGGTTGATGTGGCATGGAGTTATGTGTGATCGTTGTGCGACTGATCGTTGTACGTGGGTGGGGATAATGCCAGGATCACCAAGCATGGGAAAGGAGACGATTAGGATGTACAACCAATGCACTTGGTTGAAAAGCTTAACCGCAATACGTAAGCTCTGGCATAAGACCTCCAGAGCAGTCTACATTTTTACGGAGCAAGTGACCTACCTGGAATGTCAAAAACTGTTAGTCAGACTACCGACAACCAACTTGTTTCCGTTATGTGTGGCACTTTACAGAAAAGCCATCCGTTTGTGTAAGCAAATCGACCGATCCGAAAAATGCTTCTGTTTCTTCAGTGTCGCTCCACTTGAGTTGCGGTGTAGGGTCTGCGATTAAATAGCGGTATATTCATTCGAAATCCACTTGGATTTCACATTCCCACCGGTGAGATATGCAAACAACTGTTGCACTCAACATCATTGATCTCTGGTTTTCGGCATTTAAGCCTCCTCCTACTGGCACGAGGACATTTCGGGTTATTCATCTCCTTCCGGTATCACCGGTTAGTGAATGGTATTTGTAATTCAGGGTTTTAGTTATCGGATGGTAAGATGTTCTCCGTCGCTATGCACGACTTGCGACCTGTATTTTAGAACATGGTCTACAAAAACTTAGACTAAGTATTTTGAGATATTCGGGCCATTTCTTTTGTGCCTCCTCGAAATCTCAATTACTCCCGGTCTCGCTGAACTTGATGTTTTTTAAAATGGCTCTACATCGTCCTACGCAGACTACTAGCTCTCACGGTATTCACCTACCCTCTCTGTTTCAGGTTCGGGATCCATCACTTCCTTCCGTTGAGGTTTTGCGCCAAGAATACTCCGTTCTCAAGGTAAGCTTGTCCCCCTGTGACGATACCATCTGAATAGGCCAATCAGAGTAGTCTGTTCTGAGAGGTAGTTGCCTCTGTGTGTGTAAAACAAGTGAAAACCTACGAAAACCTTCTAGGAAAAGTGCTTACGATGCTGTCAGTAGTATAGCGTCTTCGGAATAGTTTGGACTGTTCATTGACGTTTTTCTCAGATTTGCAAGTTCCAACCGCAGTTTTCACCCACTCTGAAATGTTTGCGTCACATTTCAGTAGTTATCACCTTGCCGACTTCTTCAAATCGATCATGTCTTTCTTTGCTCCCCGGCCAAAAATTTCCAGCATTTTCGGCTGCTGATCTTCCTTTCTCAAATGGCGGATGTTTTGTTTTGTATTTCGGTTCCCCTTCGTTTCTTCTCTTCCTTGAGTGCAACTAGGTAACACATCGTGCAATCCGACCCCTCAGCTGAACTTCGTGTGACAGTGCTTCGTCACAGACCCTAGACCTGGTCTTAAACATCCACATCCATCACACTCAGTTGACTCATTTACCCACGTTGGCCCTTCCTAACATTGTGCGGTTGCCTGTTCTCGTGAATTATGGAGATTTTGCATATCTGACAGCTGAAAATGCTTGCTCCCACACCTAGGTGGCCAGGACCACAGCTGCCATATAGCAGACAAATTTTTCTGAGGGTGAAATTCCTCATCTGAGCA